AAGATAAGCAAAGAGCTTATAAGCAAGAACCATAGCATCATACTACATTAAGACTGTCATATCCGATCATATTGGATCATATCACCGAAATACCATACATATAGCATACTTGGGATAGAGGTCGTTGAATTTTTGCCTAGTAGGTTGTGCACAAGCTCCGTATCCGCCTATTGTGCAATCGTGCTAGCGTCTCTCGAGTATTGTGCAACAAGAGCATTTTCGTGTACTCCACATTTTGGCTCATTTTTGGTTTGCACAATCCCATTATTCTATTTGTGTGTGTGTTTCCGTGTCCACTACTTGCTTGGTCTACTTGTTGCATTTGCGAATTTGTGAATCTTTTTCAACTTCTTTGACTCAAACTAACAATTGCATCAAATTTTGTGCCGCCATCCTAACCAAGCTCCACCATAAGCTTTTACTTGTGTAGGTGTGAGAACCGACAAGAATTGGTACCAATTGTGATATTTCATTGTCCGCATTTGAGTGATCTTGATTCATCGTCAACATCCGTCAAGGTACATTTGGTATAAGTTCTTCTCCTTCTCCCACTCACATTTTTGCTTGGAATGATGGATAGGCCAAGTACTTCTACCAACCCACTCTTTATCGAGCAAGACAACGACATGTCATCATTCGTCACCAAGAGCCACCTCTTTGGTGCACAACGAGCGTTGCATCAAGAGCAACAAGCGATGACCGACGGCATCGACAACCTCGCCACCGACTTGCGACTCTCCGAGCAACGTACAAAGGACTACTTCGACAACAAGCTCGACGCTCACAAGCAAGAGAATGATGCAAGAATGGACGAGATTCGCGCCTTGTTGGTGACCGTCCTCCTTCAACTTCTTCGTACTCAAGACGGAGCCGCTCAAGTCGACACTCTGACGACACCTTCTCTGGCTCAAGTACACCGACATCAAACACTCTTCGACGAGCCACGCGTCAAGACCGTCATGCATCTCGCAATCCTCTACACGACAAGCATCCACAAGAGCAAGTTGACGAGCAAGTCCTTCGTCCTCAACCACACCAAGTTGCTTTTGCACAAGCTCAAGAACGACAACGTCAACATCGCCAAGAGGAAGAACGAGCGTGTCTACATCAAGAGGAACAAGACATCGAGGTTCAACATCTTCAACAACAACAACGTGAAGCACAAGCTCTTGAGGCGCAACGTGCCCTTCAAGAATCAAGTCAAGCCATTGCCAAGCGCAACCGCGATAGGCGCAATCAAGAGGAAGCACTTCGAGAAGAAATCCAAGAGCGGAACTACCAACCAAGAGTGCAACGTCAAGTTCCACAAGCTCCTCCTCAAGCTCGACAAGCTCCTCCACAAGCTCGACAAGCTCCTCCACAACCTCAAGTTCAACATGAGCAAGAAGATGATGGACTTCCTCCATGCCAAGAGCAACATGAGGATTATTACCCTCCATGTCAAGGGCGTCATCATCACCATCGACCACAACACAATGAAGAGCAACGCTATGGCAAGCTAAAATTCACCATGCCCAAGTTCAGTGGAAGCAATGATCCCGAAGAGTACCTCTCATGGGCATTGAAGGTCGACAAAATCTTTTGTTTGCACAACCATGAGGAAGAGAAGAAGATTGCTATGGCATCCCTTGAGTTCCAAGACTATGTGCTCATATGGTGGGAACAAGTCCTTGAGCGCCGAGAAGCAAGAGGTGAACCTCCAATCACCACTTGGGCTCAAATTAAAGATGTCATGCGAGCACGTTTTGTGCCCACCTACTACAACCGCGATCTCTTCAAGAAGCTCCAACTCCTCAAGCAAGGAACAAAGAGTGTTGAAGAATACTACAAGGAAATGGAGATAGCCATGATACGAGCCAATGCCACGGAAGATGATGAGAAAACTATGGCACGCTTCTTGAATGGCCTCAATCATCCCATCAAGAAGATCGCTGACTTCCAACCCTACTCCAACCTCACTGAGCTCGTGCATCAAGCTACCAAAGCGGAACGTCAAGTGCAAGATGACTTCAAGTACGCCAAGTACTCATCCAAGACCTACGGCTTCTCCAACAACCAAGCTTCAACGACTCCTCCAACTTCTACCTCAACCAAGCCATCTACAAGCAATGATGACAAGTCAAGTTACAAGAAAACTTCAACAAGCTCAAGTCGTCCTCCTCATACTACAAGCAACTTCAAGCCGCATGCTTCATCATCTACTCCGACCGATGAGACCGTCAAGACAAGCTCCTTCAAGTGTTTCACTTGCGGCGGCTGAGGCCACAAGTCCTTCCAATGCACAAACAAGCGAACCATGATCCTCAACAATGACAGCACCTATGACTCCATGAGTGAAGAAGAGATGGAAGCCCTTAAGCAAGTGGCCATGCACCGGTGCGTGAACGAGGATGAAGATGATCAAGTCTTTTGTGATGAGGATTCGAGCCCCGCTCTCGTTGTCTCCAAAGTCTTGACTCTTCAACATCAACAAGAAGAAGACCAACGATGCCACATCTTCCACACAAAGGCCGGCATCAATGGAAGGTCCGTCAAGGTCATCATCGATGGAGGTAGTTGTCACAACTTTGGCAAGTGAAGAACTATGCTCCAAGCTACAATTGGTCAAGATGAAGCACCCGCACCCCTACAAAGTCCAATGGCTAAGCGATTCCGACACTATACGCCTCGAGCATAAGGTCCAAGTTTGGGAACACTATCTTTAGTGTGTGTGCTACATGTTTGGGAACACTATCTTAGACCTCATGAGTTTGTCATCCATACCGATCATGAAACGCTTAAGTACTTAAAAGGTCAAACTAAGTTGAACAAGCGTCATGCCAAATGGAGTGAATTTATTGAATCTTTTCCCTATGTTATCAAGTACATTAAGGGTAAAGAAAATGTAGTTGCGGATGCGCTTTCACACACATGCACGCTTATCACTAAACTTGAGTTGAATGTTATTGGCTTTGAGCACATAAAAGACTTGTATGCAAACTCATGATGAAGATTATCTGGAAGGACAAGAAGAGTCGGAAGGGAAGAACAACCAAGAGGCAGATTATCAGGACAAACAAGAAGTCCGTGTGGAGGTTCAGGAAGCGAGAAACACTTTCAACAAAGAGCCGGAAGGAGGGGGCGAAGAACAACTGGCTGGATTAGACGGACAAAAAGGAAGATTTTGACCAATCTGGCGTCAAAAGGAGCAAAAGTACGTTGTGTGAGATAGAAACTTCCGTCATCGAGAGAATTGAGAAACGACGTCGTACTTAATTTTATGCATCTCTTATTATTTAGGATTTGGATCGACTGTAGTTTGGTATCGATGTAATAATTCTACATTATAGTCATTCTAAAATAAGGAAAAAATAAATGTAGGAAAAATATCTATGGTGTTGCTGACATGAGCAATGACATAGATATTTCTCTACGTGTCTTAGCCGTTTTGGGGAAAAACTAGAGGCCGAAATTTTCATTTCGCGCGCTCTTCGTCCCCCACTCGCGTCGCCGCCGCCCCCTTGACCTCGCCTCCCCCGTGCTGCAGCCGCCAAGTTCGCCTCCTCCCGTGCTGCCCCCCGTCACGCTGCTCACTCCCTGATGCCGCCCCTTTCGCATTGACATCGCCACTTCACGCAACTGCCCCAACCTCCCCCTTGTCAATCCATCCATGCCGTAGTCTAGAACGACACATCCTCGACTATTATGCTAGTGGCATGGTGCATCTAGAAGCATCGTAACGTTGCGATCTTTGACAACACTCAACTCAGATTGGCCCACCTGATTGACACAATCAAGACAAAATCTAGATGGTGGGTTATAATGGGAGCGTAGGTCTCACGGTGTTGCTTCCAGCGTTGGTCGTGGCTAGTTAGAGGCGTCGAGCTGTAACCTTTTGAGTGTTACCTTGAATAGGGATTCTACAAACTCATATTTGTACAAATGTATTAAGATGTAAGGATTTTGCCTTTTCTCCTAAAAAAAGAGTGCTAATTTAGATTCACAAGTAGCTAGGTTAAGACTACCCATACTAAGGAGTAACTTAGACTAGTAACATGCATATGTTACTAGTCTATGTTACTACCTCTATAGTGGGGAGTAACATATGTGTGGTGTCATGTAACACTTTATTTATTAACTTGTAGACTCATCTTGTGTTGGTATGTGTGATGTTACTCATAGTGTGAGTGACTAGCTATGTTACTCAAATCACCTCTCTCCTCATTAAATCATTGCCACATAAGCAAATTTGTTGAGTTGGACCTTATGTTATCGCTGAAGTTACTCCCACTGAGAGTAGTCTAATTTGTTGAAGTTACTGATGCAATTTTTGAAGTCCAAAGGCATGAAGAACAAGTTCCAAACAATATGCGGACATAAGACATATACAATAAAGTTGTTGGATATGGTTTGTTGAATGTTGGACTCTTAAGTACAAGTAGACTATTAGGCAATATTAGTTTACAATATCGAAATGAAGACACATGTATCTATAGTTTGAGGACACAATCTTAACATCGGAAAAGCAAGAGACTGCACTGGTTTGGCATCAACATCATTATCATGTTGCTAGTTAAAAATATATTTTTGCCAAGAACCCCAAGCATTTCATCACATGTACAGTTACAAACTTGCTCCTAATTTTAGCACCCATCAGATGATCAATACAAGAGATGTTTTTTCTTTCTATTCTATATCAGTGATTTGCTGTAGTGGCAACAAAAAGAATACCAACGAGGTAAGCACAAGAATGTTTGGTCAGTGGGCGCTCCCTTCCAGAGTTAGCCAGATCAGAATCGTAGAATAACGGATGATCTTACACAAGCTTGGGTGTTCCCAACACTGCAATTTATAATCAACGCCACATCAGGGACTAACTAATTGGAAGCAGTGTCGTTGTCTGGCTGTAAATCTCCACACGAGAGGCACTGCTGGAAAAGGCAAGATCAAAGTGTGTCATTTCAACTATGGAACTGAGAAGAGTTGGTTGACTTCTCAACTCAAGACAAAACATGTTCTCTTCATTGAGCTGCAACTCTTCGCAACTCATGTAAATGGCTCATTATGTCTCGTACACACTGAAGCCCATCGCCTTTGAGGGAACTGAGTACCCGCTTGAGAAACTCATGATCATCTTCAAGGGCCCTCAGTCGTGTATCCAAGAGTGAAATTTCATCCTGAAGATTGTTTAGGCCACTCATTTTTTCGTTGTCGAAAGAAGAACATGAACACTCATCCTTGTCCTTCTGCTCAATTGATTGCTGAAAAGAACTTGATTCATCCCCTATATGATCTCCAAGCAATGTCTCTTGAATGTTTGTGGTATCATTAGAAGCAAGCTTGTATGTAGAAATGCGAAGCTTTTCCTCCAATCTGCCCAGTGATTCCAAAATGTATGCCTTTTCTTCTTCGAAACCTGACATGGTGCTCGTCATGAAATCTGATGCATTCAAGACATCAAATGACACATTCTTGTCATATCCGGGTGTATTGTCCACTGTATCATCAAAATTCCCCCCATTAAATTGGCCGTGCTGGAGTAGCCTCCGACAACTGTCTAGTTCGGCATCCATGTCAAGTAATTCTTTCTCCCTCTCTGTAAGCAAGTCGTGTAGATTCTGTATCGCTTCATGGTCATGGTCAGCCTGCTCTTCCATCATCCTAAGATATTGTAGTGCTTCCATCTGCATGGCAGCCTTTTCCTCATGCAATCTGTTGATCATGGCCATGGCTTGGCTAGCTGCAATCGCTGAAGCGCTCCTTTCTTCCTCGAGCTCCTTGTAAAGGACAAGCATTGACTTCTTGTTGATCTCAATCTGCCGCTTCAAACTCTCAAGTGAGATCTCTCCTTCAGCTTCACAAATGCCGAGGTTTGCATCCGACGGTTCCAACATAGAGTAATTTCTCTCGAGGTATGGCCTCCTGCTGGTACCATTGCTTTCATCATTCTGAATCATGGTATCAGTACTAGTTACTCCTTCAGTCAAAGAATAGTCAAGGCCCCTTACAGAGGACATCTGAGTAAGGAGTGCCTTCACTTCTTGTTGAGTTGTAGAATTGTTGTCCCGGGCAGAGATTATCTCTGATGGGCGAGGAGATGGCAGATTGACCCTACTGACGAAAGTGTTCTTAATACTGTTGTTGCGATCGACGAAAATGCGCGAAGGCAGGGCAGACGCACTGGGCGCAGGCTTTGCTGCCAAACCAGCATTTGAAGAAGCACCATTGTCCTTCGTAGATTGTTCATATGCGCCTGGTGAAGCATCTGACTCCCTGACTTCCTCAATACCCACTATAAATGATACATGAAAACAATATGGATGTGCTCAGTAGATTTCCAGAAATGATACATTACAATAGTTTTTTCTAGTGAAGAATTTAGAGATAAAAGAAGTACATCAATCCAGATTCGTAAACCCACCTTTAACTTTTGAATGATCTGTAGAGACCTGTTCAGGTACAACCTTGGGTGGCATGGAAGGATTGATTTTTTCTATCACAGCAACTTGGCTCCTCTGCTTGATTTCGTCTGAACCATGCACATTATGTGAGGGCTCCTTAACATCCGCAGTTTCATAAAGCTTTTGTGCGTTGCACGCCTTCTTGAATGGCTCCAAACAGCAAGAACATAACTGTCTAGACCTCGATCCGGACCAAGAATTAACCTCATCGACAAAGCCTGCCAGGGTGCATGCAGCAAGGCATCTCTTGCAGAGATCAGCAGAATGTGCAAGATTGTTGTGACTCTTGCAGTATGCCAAAGATGATATCTCGGTCCTATGGGCAGCACACACCAAATCAGCGGAGAACCATGCCTTGCCATGGAGGGCTTGGTCCAGTCTTGAGCACATGGTGCATGGCGCCCTTAGCCTGCTGATGTGTGCCAACCTTGTGGCCACATATGATGTTGTAGCAGCCACATGGAGCAATATGATCACGCAGAGCTCACTGATCGCACGGGACAAGGTGTACCAGAACCGCTGCGAGAAGTCTTGAGACCTCACACCAGTTTTCGCAGCCATTGGTGATCAATGTTCATCAAAATTCATATGCAACATTTAGCTTGAGAAAACCTATAGTACGTCTCGGCAACACCAAGGCACCCAAATGACACAACTTGTTGAAATATGCGGGATTGGGATTGCCAATGCAAGAAAGATGCAACCTTTGTTTCAGAAGGAAGACAAATATCTGATTTTTACATAGAAAAGATGGAAATGTCAGCACAAAAATTCTAAATGTTATAGTGAAACAAAAAATAAGCATTTTATCTGGCAAAAGGTTGCACAAATATAATTCACAATCAAGAGTCAAGGTTTCTTTTTGTAGTAGAAATGTAAGCATACTTGTTGCGCATAATTATCCACATCCAAAATTTCTTTCAAAACTCACGTAATTTATTTCAGGAACTTTTCAGATTGGCACAAGAATGTTTAGATTTTTTTTCCAGGGGTAGATTCGAGACGGATACCAGCGCGGAAACTTGCCCAGGAAGCTTCAAATTGCCCAAACTGAGACTCTGGAGAAAAACTGATCAAAAGGTGTGCTAGAATCCGCAGCAAAGATTGGAGGGCGAAATATGGTTCTTGGTAGAAAAGAGGGGACAGTGGGGAGCCTTCCTCTCTTTCCCTCTCTCTCTACGTGGGGAAGAGAGGAGAGAGAAAGGAGGAAGAAGAATGTCTGCCTTGCAGTCCTCTAAACCCGGCATTTTCCCCTTCTAATGTTTGTGCGTAAAGGTGAGAAATTTAAGCACGTCCCCACGTTTTGGACGTTGCACAAAACAGGAACAAGATCTAAATTAGCTTAGATACTCAAGCAAGCCCTTCACTTTCTATATATAAACACGATGCTTAGTGTACTATCTTCATCACCGTTACTTCTTGACGCTCCCGCTCCCAACCTCTCAACCATTCTGGATTCCTCAACCACCAGTTTCATCCTCGTGTCTCATCTGCTATGTCATGGCTACTCCTCGTATCTGTCATGCTGCCGGCCACGGGTTTTTCTTTCTTGAAATATTTTTTTTATGTAGAAATCCCAAAAATATGTATAAATTCTCAGTCAAAGTTTTGGACCAATACTTCAATGACGCGTGTGCAGCTTTGTTTTGAATCCGGTTTGCAAAAGAAAAACTTCGACTGATTATTTTTGTGGCCTCAATCGAATTTGCTTTTGCTAGCCCGCTCAACCCCGGATTTGTCCCGCGCCACCGCTATGCTAACGAGCCGGGTTTCTCTGGAAATTAAACTTCCAACACCACGGCCACCCCCTCCCCACAGCGCGGCGTCCCGCATAGTCCAGTACAAACAAAACTAACCCACTGCAACTCAACTAGAACTAGATTCTTCAAGTTTGAATATTGGGCGGGGCGGGGCGGATCGGGCGTCGTGTTGCACCCTACCCATACTCGTTCTCTGTTTTGAGCTGGGTAGCCGAAGCAGTAAAATGCAGGGACAGAAAACAGACACACTGAAACCATCGAAGATTCGAAGTATATATGTATAGCCCCCCATACGGCCATACCCCATGTAAGCAGCCACTCCATGTTACCTTCCATGGTTTGTGAACAAAGGAGTCAAAAAACCATTGATTTGTTTTTATGTAAACAGAACTTTTCTGGAAAAGAAAACAAGGAAAATATCCTAGAAAAAGATGAGGGGACATTGAAACGATAGATTCAAATAAAAGACTGAAAATGACGGCAGGAAAATAATGTTACTCCTACTAAGATTCAGATTCCACGACAGAAGATTCAGAACAGCAAAAAGGCCATGGAAAAAACATAGGTTCAGTACAATTTGCCTCAGGGAGGGAGTGACATTATGAAAAAAAACTGGATGTTATTACCCCGCACGTTGCCGCGGGACTTCGTTGTAATTTTTCCGAGCAACATCCACATCACAAAGATGATAACAACTGGAATCAATTATATAACGGATTTCACTTACATGCAATCAAATTTGGTCATTTGTGGTATACATATATAATGTATTGTGGAACTTTCGTAGTTGTAGCATTAACAATGGTGTTAGCAATCATGAACTGCAATGTAGTGCCTTAATTATCTATTGGAAAGAAAACAATTTTGAAGCATCCCCGACGCTATGACCTACATCACCCATTAACAGGTCATGAACACACCGCCGTGATGATTTAAAAATGGTAATTACATTTGCTAAATATAAGATGTTAGAAAACAAAACGTGGAATGTGAGTAAAGATAGCAATATGGCCCAAAAGTTGGAATAGTTCTGGCACCTATTGCTTCTGAAATAGTGAAAAGGCAATATAAAAAGGATTAACATCAGGAACTAAATCATTCAGTATAGTAGCCCTTGGTATAGGAATAAATTATAGTGATCCATCACAAAATAAATGATATTAGAGGGTAGCATCAACGCAGTATATTGTCGTGCAAAAGAGAAGATTAATATTACAATACCAAAACATTGCTGCAGAAATTTGTACAGATAAGTGTACCTAAAGTGAAGTTAGAAATTTGTCCCCCGCGACCTCTCGCCACATTAGGTGGCTTGAGGTTGGGGCTCTCGCCTGGACTCTATGGACCGTTCGCAATAAGCTTGTGATTCAGCGTACTCCCCTTCATCGCGCTACTCACACTCTCTTCAAACTCTCGGGTTTCTTGCAGCTTTGGCGGCCGCTTAGCCGCCCCCCCGGACCGTGACGCCATCTCCGCCTTCATCGCCGACCTCCGTTCGATGGCCGTTCGCCTGTCGCCGCCGCCTCCGCCGCCCCCGCCGGATCCAGACTAGACTCCCTGCGTCTGGAGTGTGTTGTTTTCTCTTTTTTCTTTTGGGTTTGTTGAGCTGTGCCCTCTGCAGAACCTGTATACTGTGCCGTGAGACTTGGGTGGGTGTGTGTGGACCTGCTTCTGTTTGTATGCTCTGTGGCGGTTTGCTTTATTTATAAAGCGGGGCGAAAGCCTTTTTCGGTAAAGTGAAGTTAGAATGCAGTAGAAATTTTCTAAAGAGCACACATGTGTGGCCATGATTGTGACAAGAGACAGAGACTATGCGTGTTTAATAAGTTCAGGCATGCAACAAAGAAATGGTGACTATCAGCAGCATAAGGCATAATAAAGTAGAACAAAGTAACATGAAAAAATATATGAAGGGATCATAAAATATGATTCTTCTTTCAAACCCCAATTAGCTATTTACTCAGTTTTATACTCCCTCCGTCCCAAAATTCTTGTCTTAAATTTGTCTAAATATGAATGTATCAAGTCAAGTTTGAGTGTTAGATACATCCGTATCTACACAAATCTAAGACAAGAATTTTGGGACGGAGGGAGTACATGTAACTAAGAAAATAGTAGTAAAAGTGAATGGTAGTAAAATGTCTTCCAGAATGTTGAGTACCTCCTGAGATTTAAGGGTTCAGAGATTGCTCCTTAAAGATGGATCTCTAAATGCCATTTGTTTCAAAATAGTACCTCAACCTGCAAGGAACCAAGAAGGGAATAAAAAAACTGACGGATACGGATAAAGGTTCTTCGTTTGGCAGTTGAGTTAGCGAACATTAGCATTGAGAGGATGTTGTTTGGTTGGTACCAAGAACATGATAATCAAATGAGTTGTCGAGAAATTGAATATATCATACCGCGGAACTGAAGATTTTGTTAGATGTGTATAGTTCATTGTGTACATCCCCATTGTATAAGGGGCTTTTCTGCACTTTACCACACCTGTATATATACTGGCCTTTGGCCCTCAGTAAAGAGTTAGTTGCTCACTTATCCAACATGGTATCAGTTGTCAGGTTCCTCTTCCTCTCCCGCACGCTGCAGCTCCATGCCTAGCTTCCCCGTCGCCGGCCATCTCCTTCCTCATTGCCGGCCACCTTCTCCACGCCCGGCAGCCTCTGCCCGCGCCCGCCGAGCTCACCCACGACCCGGCCACGCCCTTCCCGCCTGGCTGCGCCTAGGCCTTGCCCCGGCCACGTCCAGGCCGCGCCCTGGCCTCGCCCCAGACGCGCCCAGGCCGCACCCCCGCCGCGCCCCGGCCGTGCCCTCCACGTCCGGCTGCGCCCCGGCCGCGCCGCTGCTCCTTCAGCGCGCCCCGGCCGCGTCTCTGGCCGCCCGCACCCAGGCCGCCCTCCTCTGCATCTGGCTGCAGCTGCCGTTGCTTCATCTGCTTCCGCAGGAGCAGCCCAGGGCCGGCCCTCCTCCTGGCCTCCCTTTTCCTCCCGATTCCCCACTCGGGGCTAGCGTGAGGTTGTCCGCCCCGATCCAGATCGGGGAGCGTTGACTTAAAAAAACAGAGGAGAAAAACAGAGTTCCCTCATGTCTTCTTCGGGCTATGTTGCAGTTCCTAGGTGCTCCGTGATCTTCGATGGCACCAATTATGCTGAGTTTGTGGGGTTCATGCGCATCCATATGCGTGGCCTTCTTCTATGGGGTGTTCTTTCTGGCGAGGTCCCCTGCCCGCCATGCCCTGTTGCGCCCGTGGCCCCAATCCCACCGGTGCCGCCGGTACTTGCTGCTGAGGCTTCTCAGGCTGACCAGGATGCCGCCAAGGCCCTTGATGATGCTGCAGTTGATGCTTATGATCAGCAGGTATCTGCTTATTCCGATGCTCTTTCGGTGTACCGCGATGATCTCTCTGCTTACACTCAGTGGTGCAATGACGATGCTCGTGTTGCTGTTGTTCTCACTGCAAGTGTCCTCCCTCAGTTTGCTTCAGAGTTCATGGGACTTGGCACAGTTGCAGCGATGTGGTCTTATCTTTGTCAGCGCTATCAGCCCTCTGGTGATGCTCTCTACCTATCTGTGGTGCGTCAGGAGCACGCCCTCCAGCAAGGTGATTCCTTTGTTGATGAGTTCTATTCACAGTGCTCTGCCATCTGGTGTCAGCTTGACTCTCTTCGGACAGTTGTTTGTGGCACCTATCGTTGCTGTCAGACTACTCGGTCTGATCTGGAGTTTCAGCGGGTCCATGAGTTCTTATCTCGTCTACGTGCTGAGTTTGAGCCGAGACGTGCTCACTTGCTTGCTCGTGGT